AACCAATCTTCTTCTGGTAGGTAGGTCGTCAATTTCATTCGATTTTTGTGTTTATTTGTCCCTTTTCATTGGCTTCGTAATTTAGGGTTTTTGAGATCTCCTGTGATTGTTGGCTTTTGTAAGTGTATCTTTCAAGGTTTCACTAAACTCATTACAATTTGAAATCAGCTGCGTTGAGAAGGCATGTACTCCTCAAGAGGAAGTGGCTATGGACAGCCTCAGTACAATTCTCAGTCGGGCTATGGTCAGAATGTAAGATCTTTTGAGAAATCAAAACCCTTCTCTTAAATTTCATTTTGTGTTTGAATGGTTATGCTCATGTTTTTTTTGTCACAATATGATTACCATTGATATGCTTTAGATATGTGGATTTTTCGCGGATTGAAGAATTACATTGGCACTCATTGTTCTCTATAATGCTGTTTTTGAGAATAATGTGTCGAATTTTATGGTTAATTGTTATATTATTATTATGCAGCTTGGATCTGGTTATCCAGGAAGTACAGTTAGTGGTGCAGAAGGAGGCTCTCAGATTTCCTTGAGTTCTCGGCATCCATCAATTACAGGTGCTCCTCAAGAGACTGAGATTGGTGGATACAGATCTCATTTATCGACAGCTAGTCATTATGGAACACAGTATGGGTCTGTGTATGGATCATCTTCTCTTAGCAGCTCTCAGCCTTTAAGCACCAAAGGCGTTGGCGCATCAGGCTTGGATAGCCGTTCGGGATATGTCCCTACTCTACCAGATTCGCCAAAGTTTGCATCTGGAAGCTATTTGTCTGACTCGAGCCATGGTTATGGTCAAAAAGGAGAAGATTTGTATTCAGATAAGCTGTCTGGTTACATTCCGGTTGACAGAAGGCAATATGGTGAACGATCGAGCGCTTATCTCGGTAGGGAGTTGCCAAATGAAACAACTGCTCGATATGCTGATTCATCTAATTTTGGTCGTCAGGTGTGCCCACTCTCACATCTCTTTGAAAATATTATGAATTTGGTTTATTTCTGTTCAATGGTGTTACAATTGGCATTAAACTCATTATTATATGATTTGGCAGACTGACTTGTATGATCGCATTGATCAAGCATCACTCCTCCGAGGAGAACAGTTATTAAAAATTCAGTCCCTCCATACCTCTTCTGTTGATGGAGGTGTCAGGTATTTTTCGATGATTGATTCTATTGTAGCTGTAGCATGATTTCCTAGCATAGGTAATTTTGTTCCAATGGTTGCATTCTGGTATTTCTGATATCTGTATCATTTTTCAGTTCTGTAAGGGAACCACGTTCTCCCAAGAATTTTGTTATAAAGCTACTCTACCTTCATGTAGAAACTTGCAATAACGGTTTAAAAAAAAATTATATCTTATTGCACTGAGTAGCAAACATTTCTGGCAGACAAGCTGATTATCTTACAGAAAGAAGTTCTACTGTACGCCATTCTGACCAAGAAGCTATGCATTATGGAGGAAGGCTTGAGCCTGATCCCCACGGTTTATCAGCGCGCAGTACATCTTCTTATGCCAGCCAACATACCCCATCGTTATTAGGAGCGGTTCCTCGACGAAACTTAGATGACTATATTTATCCGGAGAGCTCTACAAATCCTGGTTATGGCGTTAGCTTACCTCCAGGCAGGGATTATGGCACTGGGAAAGGAATTCACAGTGCTGCAGCGTCTCTCGACTTAGACTACCCTGGTGGTATGCTGGCTCGTGGTGGTCCACGTGTTGATGATCTCCGAAAAGATGACCGGGCAAGTTATCTCAGGGAGTTTGAATTAAGGGAGGAAGAGCGTCGCCGTGAAAATCTGCGTGCC